GCAGAATGAGGGTCCCAGTAAGTCCCAAGCAGCCCCAGCAACATGGGGCCGGGACCCCCAGCTGGGCTTTCCCTTGCACTTACCGTGGGGCACGTGACAGCAGCCTTGGCCATGGCCGGGTCGCTTCCCATGGCACAACGATGCCCCCAGTACCGAGCACTGGGACAGGGAGAGGGCTTTGGTGCCCGGGACCCACCGTGACTGCACTGGGGTGATTCATTTCCTCTTTCAGCAATTCTATCTCCAGTTTGTAATCAAGAACGCACGATTTTGCTTTGCAGGAACAACTCTCTCTGCTTTCTTCTGAGAGCTCACCTGCTGGGAATGGTCCTCTCAAACAACCCCATCTTCAGTTTTTGAAGACTGTGATGAAAAGGTAAGTGCAGATGTAACATGCTCTGCTTTGGTAAGAAAATTGACTTAGTGCCATGGGACATTTTGGTTTAAAAGCTTAGCAGTGTACAGTGCTAATAAAGAACTATTAAATGACTCTAAAAGCCTCACTAATGAATTTAAAATCTGTTTGTCAACAGGAATTTCTTTTTTGGCTCTGTGTGTTCCTAGAAAAGTCCCTAAAAGATCTCTGCTGGTGCTGGTGGCATTCAGCATCTTACTCAGTGGTCTAAAAGCAGCAAGAAAACACAGTTGTTGAAAATATATGGATGACCTACAGCTATATCACAGATGGGGGATCACAGACAGGCAAGGAATCTGCCCAGATGAGTGTGCAAGGCAGTGGTGTAGGTGACCCCCCCCCAAGACGGACGTGCAAGGTGGAGGCGAAGGTGTCACAGGGGCAGCACTGAGACTGCGTTGCGGCATTCGGCAGAGGTGAGAACAGTGCTGGAAAAGGGCATCCAAAGTTTTGTATTTTGGAAAGTTATCAAGATGTCTGAGACAATTCAGAAAAGAAACATGAAAATTAACTGAGGTTTGGAGAAAACACCTTACTTTGATCTTTCTAACCCTTACAATTGTGTCAGAGCAGAGGTTGAGGGGTGACTTGATTACGGTGCCCAAACACCTTTCTAGGGAGAGAAGGTGGCTTGGGTGTCAGCATGGAAGGAGGTGCAAAGCTGCTGGTAAACTGGTCTCAGAGATACCTTATTCATATCTCACCAGCAAAGGGCAGTGAGGTTCTCCCTCACCTGATGTCTCAGAAGAGTTGGGAAATTAGTTCTACCTGGTATTTTGACTGGTGACAAGTGCAATATCCACAGGCAAGAAATTCCCAAATAGAAGAGAAGGAAGAGCAATGTGGGATTATGGACAGCATCACTACAGCGAAGGATCCAGGTGGGCAGCAGCGGGACAGGGACGCATGCTAATTAAGTCACTTGCAAAAAGAACAAACCTCAATTTTGGGATATATTCACAGGGACTGAAGAATTCAAAATCAGTTTAAAATGTTTATTAGAATTAGCTTATATTCACTTGATCACCTGAGCTCCCTAGCAGATGTACCAAGGTCAGTTTCTAATGCCAAACTGTATGGTTCTGTGACAAGAGCCGGTGGGGTATCAGCGCTGCAGGGGTTTGGGCAGAGCGTGGGGCAGGCAGGGTTTGGGGAGGGAGCGTTGCCCTTCCTGGGCCGGCTGCTATGGCTGGGAGAAGGCTGACAAGACTTCAGCCCCCCCTCTCTTTCCCGTGCTTTACTAAAGACACGTCTGAGAGCATCACACGTACCAGCGTGGTGTGCTTCTGTGGTGGGGTGCTGGTCCATTCTCTGCCTCCTGATGCCTGCGAGTCTTGGTCAGGCACCTCCAGGGAATTCCTGCTTTAGCCAAACATTGTCTGTGCTTCAATCAAAAAAAGTTACCAGTCTCACCACAGAGGTCACTGGGTGAGATTTCACAGCCAGTGAAGTGCAGAATGGGATCCCACAGTGCCCTCGAGTCGGTGTGTCCCGTAACTCCGTGGAGAAGGGGACGCGGTGCCAGGTACGGGCAGCTGTTGTTCGGGAAGAGTGGCACTGGACTGATGCTGTACTCAGAAAAAGAGCCTGTGGGTGTTATCCTTGACATTTAAATTTAGTTGGGGAAATGATGGAGCAAAGCTGGAAGAAAATAAATTTGATGTGACACCGTGTCTTGGGCAGGAGACGTTCTGCTGACCTCAGCAATCTGGCTATCACAGAACAGCCCCCATCTCCACTGTGATGAGCAGAGGGAAACACTGCCTGAAACAAGCCCATCACACAGACATCCCAAAATTAGACTTCTGACGCCAGTCCTTTCAAGATGGATTTTCAAATCTGTCCCTTTTTCTTGGTCATCCAAGAAATTCTGCTTGGGATTTGCATTTAAATTCATATTTTTTAGTCTAATCGTTCCTTTTCAGTGATTTTACTTGACTTTCCTGTGTTCAAGGAAATTAAGCTTTTTGAAGCACTGCATAAACATGTTATTGGCTGGGATTATCGCCTATTTGTCTGGATTGATTGCAATCCCATTATGATCACTAACTGTAGGACGACTGCTCACGGATTATACGAGCACCCGTCCAGTTCAGACCGTCAATCACAGGTTTCACTCAGGATCCTGACCTCAAAGGCAAACGCAAACCGAGGGGCAGCATGAGATCTACAGCCGCGATATCGATTGGTGCTCTGACCCCGCTCTGAAGGCAGCTGTTTCAGGCTGAGCAGCTCCCCGTAGGTTTGAGGAGGCGCCTGCTTCTTAAACAGACCCACTGGTGTCTGTGGGTTGCAGGATGAATGTGGCTGCTTAGGTTCATCTTTTCAGGTTTCATTTTTCATCCAGCTTTGGATAGCGTTCACTTTCAGTGCTCCGCTGGAGCATAAAGATAAGGAGAAAAGCAGAAAGCACGGAATTTTTTCTTTTTTTTCTCTTGTTCCTTTTCCAAGAAAGGGAAAATACTGGAACATATACACGTGTGTGTATGTATGTACATATATTTATTAAATAAAGACTAATCCTGTTGCCTGGGCTCCACAGACCTTTCAGAAATAAAGGAATCTCCCCATGGACCGCTGGAGATTCCTGAGGCTGCAATAGCTCATGCTTTCCAGGTGCTAACTTAATGAAAATGCGGCCGTTTGCCCAGGAGCCTTCATGGGGTGATGGTGCAGGACCACACAGGCGTTTCAGAAACATCCAGGACCTGCAGCCTTTTACTGGCTCTCCCCTCTGAGGAAACAGGAGACCGAGAAAAAGGCCCCAAGACAGTTGTTTTGGACAGACAAACCATCAAAGTGGTTGTCTCATTCAGAGATGATGAAATAAATGTTCTTAATGCTAGAGGAACTTGGAGATACCTGCAAGGCAAACTTGCCAGATTGCTCTGTCTCCTCATGCCATTTTATATGGTCAATACACCCAAGGAAACGTCTCAGACTGAAGTGTCCGTGGGAGAGGACACAGAAAACAGTCATTGCTCTGGGACAGGCTGGCGGGGGCAGAGGCCCCCACCCAGCACCTCTGGAGGGATTTGGACTGGGGACCCTCAGACTGCTGGGCGGTGTCTGCAGCCAGCCATTCCAGTTAGCTGCCATGAACAAGAACAGAAAGACAAAAATAAAAAAAACAGTCCTCAAAAAACGGGTCTGGGCACGGCCGAGGCACTATGGACCAGGGTGTGCAACTTGTGTGCCCGCTGCATCGGCAGAGCCTGCAGTACCCAACAGACACAGACCCGGTTCCATCTGACATACTAGGAAAGAGCCAGCCTGGCTTCTGTAGCACGAACTTATGACTCACAAATCCATTAAGAGGTCTTTGAAAGCGTCAATGAGCATACAGGGGAAGCTGATGCAGGCACTGGAACAGACGTGGATTTTCTAAAAGCTCTCAACCCTCACAGAAGTTTTTTTCTAACAAACCCCTTCTCATGTTCTGGGCTGCAGGGACGTGCTCCTGAGGAATCCTGGCAGGCCAAGAGAGGGACACAAGGAGGGCAGGGGTGTGCTTCTTCCCACCCCCTCACCCCCAGCATCCGGCTGCCTGCATCCTGGAGGATTCCTGAGCCCGAGGAGGCCTTTCTGGTTAGAAACCCCGCAGAGCCCTCTCCTCCTCCTCCTCCTCCTCTTCCTCCTCCTCCAGCCCTTCCCGCCATCACCTCTGAGAAGGGTGGTGGGTGGGAGCCAGCCCCCAGCTGCCCCCAGCAGGGCCCTGGCCTGGCTGTGCAGCCGCCCCCCCCGAGACCCCCTGGGCACGGGGCTTTGGTCCCAGTGGGACCGAGGGAGAAATTCATTGGGATCTTGATCCTCTCAGCTGGCCGTTTGTCAGTTCTTTCTTCATCTTCCTAATTAGACTTTCTCATGTAATCTGCCAGGGCTTACGATCCCGTTTTCTTCGTTTCCCAGCTTCTTGGAAGATGCTCTCTCGTTTCCTTCAACCTCCCCGGCAGCTCAGCCGGGATGCACGTGCCCAGGGTGCTGCCAGCGTGGTGCCCTGCCAGAGCCCCTCCATTCTCCCGGTCACCCCTCGCAGGCTGTTTCTGGGGTGAGCGCAGCCAAGGTGGGCTTCATCGGGCCCTGCCCAACAGGAGCCGACAGAGCTGGCAGCCTGATGGTCGCCGCTGCGGAGAGCCCGACCAGCGCGACCGCCCACAGCTTCGTTAGAGGGACCCCCCAACCCCTCTCGTGTCCTGCCCGCGGCAGGCCCACGGTCTCCGACCCCTGTCCCCGGCGGTGCCATCACCCTGCCGGCCTTTGCCCGAGCAGCCTGTACCGGGCGCGTGAGCGAGGCGATAGCAGTGGGGCCCTGTGGGCAGGGGGTGACCGGAGAGGGGACCCCCACCACGGTGGGGCAGGGGTTGGTGATCAGCCAGGGACCTCTTGGGACCAGCTGTGTTTCACAGCTTCATTAACGACCTCGGCATGGCATGTGTAAGGACAAAATTACCTCCGACATATTGGGGAGGGGGGGGTGGGCTGGCAACGGGGCCAGCGCATGGAAGGGGTCCCCAGGCCGGGCTGGGGGGCACCGGCCGGGTGCCTCGTGGGCTGCCGAGGGGTCTGCCC